TTTCGAACACATGACCTATGTTAAGAAAAATCTACTATTTCCTCAATTCTTCCCAGCATTCCTGTCACCTTTCTTGCTGTAACTGGAACCCAGCTCTCCTGTATCCCTTCCTAGTGGGCAGGTCTAACTCTTCTGAGCTGCTTCCAGACCATTCCCCCTTCAACCTCCCCAAACTGCCTAGCTAGGAATCTCATTCTCAGAGTAGATCCTTCATTTTCCCATTACACCTTGAGCATCATCTGCCGACCCTGATGGGCTCCTCCTCTCTTCTCGGCTCTCCTGCTCCTCTTACTGTCATTCTTGGAGATTTCCATAAGCAGGTTGAGGACCCTTCCGCTGCCCCTGCCTCTGTTCCCTGACCTCCTTCCAGCGACCTTGTCCTCCTCCCAACCCTTCCCTTTCATGGTCACTCCTAGGCCATGTCCCATTAAAAGCAGCCTCTTCAGAACCTCATTTCTTTTCTTTCTTTTTTTTTTTTTTTTTTTGGAGACAAGAGTCTCACTCTGTCACTCTGGGTAGAGTACAGTAGTATCATAGCTCACAGCAATCTCAAACTCTTGGGCTCAAGCAATCCTCCTGCCTTAGTCTCCTGAGTAGCTGGGACTACAAGTGTCCTACCACAGTGACTGGCTAGTTTTTTTCCATTTTTAGTAGAGATGGGGTCTCCTTCTTGCTCAGGCTGGTCTCAAATTCCTGAGCTCAGGCAACCTACCTGCTTTGGCCTCCCAGAATGATGGGATTACAGGCATCAGCCACGGTGCCTTGCCTAGCATTCTGGGCTTTGGATGCTCAAAATCCAGCCTGCTAAGATTCAAGTCCTAGCTACACTTATATGACTAAAGACAAGTCACTTGATCTCTCTGTGCCTCAGTTTCCTCTTCTGAAAATGGGGGCATTAATGGTACCTAGTTCATAGGGCTGTTGTGAGGGTAAAATGAAATAATTTTTTTTTTTTGAGACAGAGCCTCAAGCTGTCCCCCTGGTCAGAGTGCCATGGCTACACCGCTCACAGCAACCTCCAACTCCTGGGCTCAAGCGAGTCTCCTGCCTCCGCCTCCCAGGTAGCTGGGACCACAGGTGCCTGCCACAACATCGGCTATTTCTTGGTTGCAGCCATCATTGTTGTTTGGCAGGTCTGGGCTGGATTCGAACCTGCCACCTTAGGTGTATGTGGCTGGCGCCTTAGCTGCTTGAGCCACAGGCGCCGAGCCATGAAATAATATTTCTAAAGCACTAAAGAAAAGCCCCTGGAGGGGGCTCACAAGTAAGAGCAATATGAATTTAATATTAAACATTAAATTATGGAAGTTACCATTGTTATTATTACCTATCATAAAAACATGACAGCAACTATTTTAGCTATGATAGTTTGATCTGGTGACATTTATTGGCCCTTATAAAGCTACTGTGCTGAGCATTTAAGTAGGATCATCTCATTGAATCCCATCATCTTGTTTAATGGGCAGATCAGTCCTTTCAGGGTGCCCTGGGTTAAGACGCTTCAGTGATCTGATGCCTGTTATCTGCATGTGCCCAGCAAGGGATCAATTCATGTTAGCTGTTGTAATTTTTTTTTTTTTTGCCTATGTAGAGTGCCATGGCCTCATAGCTCACAACAACCCCAAACTCTTGGGCTCAAGCAATCAATCCTCTTGCCTCAGCCTCCTGAGTAGGTGGGGACTATAGGTAGCTGCCACCACGCCCAGCTAGTTTTTCTATTTTATCAGAGACGGGATTTCCACTCTTGCTTAGGCTGGTCTTGAACTCCTGAACTCAGGTGATCTGCCTTGGCCTCCCAGAGTGCTGGGACCCCACCTACCCAATTGTTGTCATTTTTTTTTTTT